GAGAAAGAGAGAGATTGTACTTTTTTTATGATCAACAAAAGGCTACGATTGGTTGGAAACGTCAAATGAGCTTCTATTCTGCATTAGCATTAAAAACATTGTGACCCCCACACACACACACTATACACACACTCACACATTCACTCACACTCACTGTACACTCACACACTCAGTCACACTCACTATACACTCACTCACTATACACACACACTCACTATACACTCACTCACTACACACACACACACTCACTATACACTCACTCACTATACACTCACACACTCACTACACACACTCACTCACTATACACACATTCACTCACTATACACTCACTCACTATACACTCACACTCACTATACACTCACACTCACACTCACTATACACTCACTCACTATACACATTCACTCACTATACACACATTTACTCACTATACACTCACACTCACTATACACTCACTCACTATACACACATTCACTCACTATACACACACACTCACTATACACTCACTCACTATACACTCACTCACTATACACACTCACTCACTATACACTCACACTCACTATACACACATTCACTCACTATACACACTCACACACTCACTCACTACACTCACTACACTCACACAGTGGGGGGGGGAGTGGGGGGGAATGTGCAACAGAAGATGTTGTGTTTGCTGTAGATTTCTCTGGTGCTGAATATTATATTTATAAACAAACATATATATATATAATATATACTCAAACAAAAAAAGGAATCTGTTTGGGCACAAAACCTGTCACAAATTGCTTCCCCCCTAAACACACACTGGGGGGGACACCAGGAGAGGGGGTGAGGGGCAGTGGGGGATCAGCCTCGGTTTCTGTCAATGAACCAGTCAGTGTCAGGTGATCCCGCGCTCCCCCGCCCCCCCCCCTCTCCCGCCACAAACGTTGCCAAGCGGCTGATGGACAGCGCCTCCCGCCCAATCAGCGGCGGCGCGGCCCATTGTGACCTCACGCGAGTGACGCGCCTCGGCCAATGGGAGGGGGAGGGGGAGGTGACGGGGGACGTCACGGGGCTCAGGGCGCGGCCTGAGTGACATCGGCGTGTGATCAGCGCCGCCCCACCCCCCCATCGCCCCCCCATCGCCCCGCCCCCCATCGCCCCGCCCCCCCATCGCCCCGCCCTCCCCATCGCCCGCCCCCCCCGACGCTGATTCACCGACAGCTTCTGCTGCTTCAACATTGAGCAATAACTTCTTTATATATATATATATATATATATATATGTGTAAAGTTCCCCCCGTCCTTCCCGTGACGACTTAGACACAGGTGGCGGCCCCTCTCCCGGTCCCTCCGCCGGGACCCACGTCACGACCACCGCACCGCACCGCACCCTTTAAATAGTAAATCACACGCGAATATTTCGCCGCCGACAATCCCGAGTCCTTCCCGAACTGCGCACTGACAACACGTGTGTGTGTGTGTTGGGAGGTGTGGGGGGGGAGTGGGTGTGTGTGGGGGGAGAGTGTGTGTGTGTGTGTTGGGGGAGTGGGGGTGTGTGTGGGGGGAGTGTGTGTGTGGGGAGAGTGTGTGTGTGTGTGTTGGGGGAGTGGGGGTGTGGGGGGGAGTATGGTGTGTGTGTTGGGGGGGGGGGGGAGTGTGTGTGTGTTGTGGGGGGAGTGTGTGTGCGTGTTGGGGGGAGTGTGTGTGTGTGTTGGGGGGGGGTGTGGGGGGAGTGTGTGTGTGTGTTGGGGGGTGTGGGGGAGTGTGTGTGTGTGGTGTGGGGGAGTGTGTGTGTGTGGGTGTGGGGGGAGTGTGTGTGTGGGGGGGGAGTGTGTGTGGTGTGGGGGGTGTGTGTGTGTGTGGGGGGAGTGTGTGTGTGTTGGGGGTGTGGGTGTGGGGGAGTGTGTGTGTGGGTGTGGGGGGGAGTGTGTGTGTGGGTGTGGGGGGGAGTGTGTGTGTGTGTTGGGGGTGTGGGGGGAGTGTGTGTGTGTTGGGGGTGTGGGTGTGGGGGAGTGTGTGTTGGGGGGAGTGTGTGTGTGGGTGTGTTGGGGGAGTGTGTGTGTGGGTGTGGTGGGGGAGTGTGTGTGTGGGGGTGTGGGTGTGGGGGAGTGTGTGTTGGGGGTGGGTGTGGGGGAGTGTGTGTGGGTGTGGGGGGGAGTGGGGGTTACGGGGCGGTGTGACCGCCGCTAAGTTAACCCCCAGTGGTGTGTGGAGTTCAGGACTGGGCAGCGAGTGCCAAACGCTCGGCATTGCCCGAGTTTACAACGTTCATTAACAGTGATTTACTTTTAAAATGAACAGCGTCCGGAACCCCAGTCTTACTGCCCCCCCAGGACCCCCCCCCCAGGACCCTCCCCCCAGGACCCCCCCAGGACCCCCCAGGACCCCCCCCAGGACCCTCCCCCCCCAGGACCCTCCCCCAGGACCCTCCCCCCAGGACCCCTCCCCCAGGACCCTCAGGACCCCCCAGGACCCCCCCAGGACCCTCCCCCCAGGACCCTCCCCCAGGACCCTCCCCCCCAGGACCCCCCCCCAGGACCCTCCCCCCAGGACCCTCCCCCCCAGGACCCCCCCAGGACCCCCCCAGGACCCTCCCCCCAGGACCCTCCCCCCAGGACCCTCCCCCCCAGGACCCTCCCCCCCAGGACCCTCCCCCCAGGACCAGGACCCTCCCCCCAGGACCCTCCCCCCAGGACCCTCCCCCCCAGGACCCTCCCCCCCAGGACCCTCCCCCAGGACCCCCCCCCCCGGACCCCCCCCCCCCCGGGGATGTACCTGTGCCACACATCAGCCAACATTTCACGGGGAAAACCCCACAGACAATTAACAAGAACTCTGTTGACATTTGCTCCATTTTCCAACGTGTAACCCGATTCCTCACAGATCAGATCAGAGGCTCTCAGTAGCTTTTTTTTTACAAAAATAATGTCATTTACGAGAAGCGAAGAATGTTCCCCAACTCTCACACACACAAACATACACACACAGTCACACAGTCACACACACACAAACACACACACACACAAACATACACACACACAAACATACACACAAACATACACACACAGTCACACACACACACACACACAAACATACACCAAGTCACACACACACACACACAAACATACACACACACACACACACACACACACAAACATACACACAGACACACAGTCACACACACACACACACAAACATACACCAACACAGTCACACACACACACAAACATACACACAGTCACACAGACACACAGTCACACACACACACACACACACACAAACATACACCAACACTGTCACACACAAACATACACCAACACAGTCACACACACACACAAACATACACACAAACATACACCAACACAGTCGCACACACACACAAACATACACCAACACAGTCACACACACACAAACATACACACACATATACATACACACATACAAACACACTCATATACATACACAGTCACACACAGAAACACACCAACACACACATAAACACACACAGTCACACACACAAACACACCAACACACACATAAACACACACAGTCACACACACAGTCTCTGCTGTACAGCCCAACCAGAGCAGTGCACCGCTGATCCCGATCTATGAAAAATCCCTTTGAGGGGGGGTTTGAAAACCTGGGACACAAGTCAATCAATATCGATTTACTGACAATCCACGAACCGGGTTCACAGCTTATATTAATCCTCATTTGGGACCCCCCACCCCCCCACCCCACCAACCCCCCAACAACCCCCCCAAAGCTCCCTCTTTATTTACAAGTTACTTCAAAGAGAACAAGCGACAGCCCGAGAGACAGTTTAGTCAGAGTACAGTATCCCAGTCTGGACAGTGATTCCAAGGGGGTCTGTATTTGATTGATTCTATAGTGTTTGCATTTCTTTTAAACAATTCCATGATTCTTAGATCAAGTGCTATCATCATCATCATCATCATCATTATTATTATTAGTATTATTATTATCATCAAGTGTACGCTTGCGCTGTTTCGATCACACAGGGGAAATGTATATCTTTTCTTTCTCTTAAAAAATAGTGATAAATCTGCAGGTCTATCCCTTCTGAAAGATGCAATTTCAATACGTGTGCGGACTGGATGGCGCACACACGCACACACACACGCACACGCGAGGTACAGTACCCCGCGCTGGGTCACTCAGACCTAAAATTGTTTCACACACTGGAATGCATTGCCTGAAAGGGCGGCGGAAGCCGATTCGATAACAACTTTTAAGAGAGAAGTCGATCGTTATTTGGGGAGGACAAGTTTGCAGGGCTATGGGGAGAGAGCGGGGGAGCGGGGTGGAATTGGATAGCTCTGTTCGAAGAGCCCGGCACAGACACGATGGGCCGAATGGCCTCCTTCTGTGCTGTGTAATTCCACGATTACCTACGTAGGAAGAAGAATCCTTGCAACCCGGAGAATTGTCAAAAGTCGGACGGACGTAGCTGTCCGCGAAGGAACTCCTGTCCTTCCCGGATCGCACTTCCTTCCACCCTGGAGGCAGTCTTGCGCCCTCAAAAGTGCGCCCGCGCGCGCGAGAGAGAGAGAGAGAGAGAGTGAGAGAAAAAAATACTAAAATCTACGACAAACCGTGAATTCTATATCATTTTTTTTTGGGGGGGGGGGGGTGGGGTTCAAAAAAATGAATTGAATCTAACAGAACAGATTAAAAATCAGATACATATTTTTTGTATGGAGGGGAGTGGGGGGGGGGACAGCACAAACCCCTTGATTTCCGCAGCCCCCCCCAAAAAAAAAAAAGAGGGTGGTGTGTGTGTGTGTGGGGGTTGTTTTTTTTTTTGCATTCATTTTTTTTTTGGCAAACACACCCCCCAAGTTTGGGAAAGTTGAACCGAATCCACATGACCGACACCGATTAATAAGAGGGGGAGAGGAGGGGGAGAGGGGGAGAGGAGAGGGGGTTAAGAAAAAAAAAAGAAAGAAAGACAACGTTAGACGGGCGTTAGTGAGTGCCACCTCCTGCTCCCACCTTCCATCCCGCGGAGCTGTTGCTGTCGCCTTTATCCTTGAAGTAGGGCACACTCCGGACCATCCAGTCGTAGATCTGGGACAGGGTCAGGCGCTTCTCGGGGGAACTCTGGATGGCTTTGGTGATCAGGTCGGCGTAGGACATGTTCCCCCACGCGTTCCTGCGGGACGAGCTGCTCTTCCTCTGGGCCGGTGTGACCTGGGCTCCGGCCCCCGGGCTCTGCTGCTGCTGCTGCTGCTGCTGCTGGTGCTGGTGTTGGTGCTGATGCTGTGGATGGTGACAGCCCTCCGGCTGCTGACACTGGAAGTCGGGGCAGCAATCGGACCCCAGGATCAGGGGCTTCTCCTCCGGCGGCGGCGGCGGCTGCTGCTCCTCCAGCACCAGAGCCGGCGACACCGAAGCGCTCGCCCGCCCCCCGGCGCCTCCGCCGCCGCCGCCGCCGCTGCCCTCCGGGGTCAGGGCGAACTCGCTCTGCCCCTCCTGCTTCGCCGAGGCCGGGGAGGAGGCGCAGCTGAAGTCGGGCCGGGGCAGCGGCCAAGTGCAGGAGCGGGGCCGCGGCACCGGCTCGAAGTCGGGGTCGATGTCCACGACCTGTTGCAGCGTCGGTGCCTCGGCCATGGCTCTGGTGAGTTAACGAACCCCCTCTCCTCCCCTCCTCTCCCCTCTCCTCTCCTCTTCCCACCACCACCACCAACTCCCCCCCCTCCACACACCCACCTCACTCTCTCTCTCTCTCTCTCCTTCTCTCCTCTCACTCCTTCCCCCTCTCCCTCTGTCTCTCTCTCTTTCCCTCTTAAAGGGAAAGCAAAAATAAATTAAAAGAGCAACGCAGGAGGAGGAGAGATCGGTTCCCAAATAAGACAGCGATAATAAGATCGCACTCACACACACACACACACACACACAAAAAGTTACCTCGTCACTTCATAAATAGACTGGAGGAGGAGGAGGAGGGGAGAGGAGGAGGAGGGGGAGAGAGAGAGAGGGGGGGGAAGGGGACAGGAGGGGGAGGGAAGGAAAGTCACTTCTGATCTCTCCCTTTTTTAAAAAAAAACCTTCTGCGAGTCGTCGCCTCTTCCAGAAAAGACGATGCAACCGCACACACTCCCTGCACTGCACTGCACTGCCCCGTCCTGTACACCGCAGATGTCTGTCTGTCTGTCTGTGTCTGTCTGTCCCCCTCTCTCTCTCTCTCTCTCTCGCTCTCTCTCTCTGTCTCTCCCCCAAATAAAAAAAAACAAGAGCCGACGAAAGGAGCATTTAAAGAGCGAGTGGATGAAGCGTCACGTCTGTCCTCTGCCGTACCATTATGAGGTCCCACTTCGCCAACCCCGCGCTGAGCAAACTCGGTCACTCCCAGTCACTCCCAGTCAGTCCCAGTCCCTCCCAGTCAGTCCCAGTCCCTCCCAGTCCCAGTCACTCCCAGTCAGTCCCAGTCCCAGTCACTCCCAGTCCCTCCCAGTCAGTCCCAGTCCCTCCCAGTCCCAGTCACTCCCAGTCAGTCCCAGTCCCAGTCACTCCCAGTCAGTCCCAGTCCCTCCCAGTCCCAGTCACTCCCAGTCAGTCCCAGTCCCAGTCACTCCCAGTCAGTCCCAGTCCCAGTCACTCCCAGTCAGTCCCAGTCCCTCCCAGTCCCAGTCACTCCCAGTCAGTCCCAGTCCCAGTCACTCCCAGTCAGTCCCAGTCCCTCCCAGTCAGTCCCAGTCCCAGTCACTCCCCGTCAGTCAGTCCCAGAGACAAGCGCTGTATTGTGCTCTCTCCCCCCCCCGTGACCACCTAACCTGCTGGCGGATACATACATGGATACATTGCGGGGGGGGAGGGAGGAGGAAGTGTTTTGACAGGCGGCCGTCTCGGCCAATGGAACGCACCCCCCTCGCCGGCCGCCCGGGCCGCCCAGCCAGTCGCACGCCGCTTTGCGAGGGGCGGGACCTCCCTCCGATTGTGACGTCGCACTCTCGCCCCTCCCCCCCCCCCCCCCCCGCCCCCTGTTTCGGGTTTGGTTGAGAGGTGCAGTGTCCGCCCACTCAACACCACAACATCGACGTCGGGCAAAACACATGGTGGGAGGATTACACACACACACACATACTACACACTACATACACACCACACACACTACACACACACACACTACATACACACACATACATACACACCACACACACTACATACAACCACACACACTACATACACACCACACACACTACATACACACCACACACATACACACACATAACACATACACACCACGCACACCACATACACTACACACACACATACATACACACACATACATATACACACCACACACACTACATACACACCACACACACTACACACACACATACATACACACCACACACACTACACACACACATGCAATCGCACACACTAACTGCATTCACAGCTCAACCGGACCGTGTGAGTGTTTTATTTATCAGAGCGATTAATGTCTTTGGATCTAAACACTCACTCACACACACACACACTCACACACAGTGTAACAGGTCGGGACCTGGCAGCCGGGAGGCGGCTTTGGCTGTGCGTTCAGTCGGGAAAACTGATGGGAATATCGGCCAAAATAATGGTGCGGTTCCGTCACTCTCGTGGGTCAGTGGTTTGGATAACGTGCGCTCCTTTCCCAAAGCTTTGCATCGCTAACTGCAGCAGTTACTGTGCTCCAGTGAGGATTGCAACTCTTCCTTCCAGCACATCCCACCCCTCCACACACACACCCCTCCACACCCCCCCCCACACCCTCCACACCCCCCCCCCCCCCACACACACACCCCTCCACACACACACCAACCCCCTACACACACCCCTCCACACCCCCCCCCCCACACACACACACACACCCCACACCCCCCACACACACAACACCCCCCCACACACACCCCTCCACACCCTCCACACACACACCCCCCCCCCCACACACACACACCCCTCCACACACACACACACACCCCACACCCCCCCCACCACACCCCTCCCCCCCCACACCCCTCCACACACACACCACCCCCCCTCCACACACACACCCCTCCACACCCCCCCCCACACACACACCCTCCACACACACACCACCCCCCTCCACACACACCCCTCCACACCCCCCCCCCACACACACCACCCCCTCCACACACACACCACCCCCCACACACACCCACCACACCCCCTCCACACACACACCCCCCTCCACACACACACCACCCCCCCACACACACCCCTCCACACCCCCCCCCCACACACACACCCCTCCACACACACACACACCCCCACACCCCCCCACACCCCCCACACACACAACACCCCCCCACCCCCCCCCCACACACACACACACCACCCCCCACACACACACCCTCCACACCCCCCCCCCCACACCCTCCACACACACACCACCCCCCACCCCCACACACACACCCCCCACCCCCACACACACACCCCCCACACACACACCCCCCACACCCTCCACACACACACACACACCCACACCCCACACCCTCCACACACCCCCCCCACACCCTCCACACAACACCCCCCACCCCCCACACACACCCCCCCACACCCTCCACACACACCCACACCCCACACACCCCCCCACACCCTCCACACACACACACCCACACCCTCCACACACACCCACACCCCACACACCCCCCCCACACCCTCCACACACACACACCCACACCCCCACACACACCCACACCCCCCCCCCCACACCCGCCACACACACCCACACCCTCCACACACCCCCCCCCACACCTCCACACACACACCCCCCACACCCTCCACACACACACACCCTCCACACCCCCTTCCACACCCCCCCCCCCCACACACCCTCCACACACACACACCCTCCACATCCCCCTCCCCCCCACATACACACACACATGAGTCACTTCCACACCAACAAAACAGAGCAGACCCCAATTCTGTAATTGATCCAATCTCCGAGGTTTGTTGACTTGGAAGGTATTCGGCATCTTACCATTTGTACAGTAATTGGATCTATCGGTTCAGCCCGAGTTCAGTCTAAATTTATCTCCACTGATAAATATGCTTTCTGCTGCTCCCTCCGGCTCCACATCCTACTTTACCTGAGATGTGTCGGCCGATTGCGGGTTATTTAGCTCAACGCTAATTCTGCCTCAGCTAAGTTTCCTTACTCCGCAAGCTTCCGTTTATCCAGCGGTAACTAAGAACTCGGTTGTTGATCGATTGCCGGATCGCTTTCCAGGGGTAATCCTTCAAAGAATAATAATAATGACCATTTGGTCACTTAATCCACCACTTTTGTGGGTCGCTGCTGTGCGCAATGGCTGCCGCTATCACCCGCAAAACATAGAGTTAATTATTCTATGAAGCGCTTTAAGACGTCTCGAAGCCAGATAATTCAAAATGTTATTATTTTGAATGGAAACCCCATCGATGTTAATGACAGATAAAGCTGCACAGTTCCTTGTATCCTCTAGTCGTAGTAATCCCTCAAGAAAAAAATAATAAATTGGTCACATCAATCCACAACTGTTTGTGGGGCACTGATTGTGATATTTTTAGTCTAACCTCCTCACCACCATCCCCACCTGCATATCAAGACGGACTGTTACATATACCAATGCTGTCAAACCATAGAGCCACGAGACACATGCGGCTCATGAAAGGTGATTTGCGGCCGCCTCGGCTTCTGCAGAAAGCATGCATCTCAGATAATTCACGCTGACAATTTACCTACAGAGGAGCGTGCATGGCTGTTTAAACGAGTTGCACGTATGTGGTAAAAAAAAATCCTCCAGTCCGGCTTTTCGAATTTTCAATTAAAATAGTCAACTAAAATAATATTAAGCTGAATAATACAGCAAAATGAATAATACAGCAAAATGAATAATACTCAATTGGTACATGTTTTGTGAGTTACATATTAAACACAAAATTCCCCCAAACCATTTTCCATGTATCTAAATGAATATGAGTTGATTCAGAACTCCGCTCCCCGTATTCTCACGAAACTCCATACCTCCATCACACCAGTCCTCGCCAAGGATACACTGGCTCCCTATCGCAGAACGGATTGATTTCAAGATCCTTTCACTCGTCTTCAAATCCCTTCACATGCTGTCAGGTTCTGCCACTTTTAAGTGCTCCACGTAAAGGGTGCTATATAAATGCAAGTTGTTGTTGTTATAAGTTGCACCTCATGATGTCTCTGCTCTCTCCATATGCAAATGCAACTTTTTTGACTGGTGTGGCTCACATTATTGTTCATAAGCCAACATATAGCTCAGTACATTTCTGAGTTTGACACCTTGGAGATCCGCAGGACCAACTGAGTTAAAACCAGATTGCCCACAAAAACTGGAACTTAAACGTTTTCTTTGACAGAATGAGACACGAGGGGAGGGTCAAAAGGGATTACAGCATATGCAAAATAATTCTTCAGAAGAAGGAGATTTGGAACCTGATGCTGTTTTTGCCAGTTCAGATTGATCCATTCCGAACGCTTACATTCACCTTCCTTACTGTTCCTGCTTTCTCACAGCCCTTGGAAACTTCCAGTCAAAGCCTTTGAGGCATGGTAAAAGGTGGTAAGATTTAGCCCCTTTAACCACAATCAAGTCCATACAGTAAATATACATTTGTGGACTTGTTTTGCAATTTCATCTTCAAAAAAGGTCACTGCA